CCCTCCATTTTTTTTAAATGCCCAAAACGTGCCTGGAGAAAGATTTTTTTTTTGTCAAAGTCCAAACTGATTATATGTGTCAGTAGACAAGGTATCCTTGCGTGAGTCATAAATTGCTGCGCAGCAGGTTTATCTCAACCCCTTCTGGAGGGAGATGGGCCTTACTGCCACTTCCTGTGGTGTTGCCCTTCATAGCCTCGGTTGGTCCCTTTTGCAGAAGTGCACGTGTCTGAATTGGCAGCTGTGTTTTGTCCCAGTTGTATACACTGGTGGAGTTATGTCTTTGTACATCCAGACAAAAAAGGCTGCTTGCCATGGTGTGGCGGTGAGCATGCACAGACATGATGATGAAGGTGCGGGGGGGGATTGTCCTTGTGGATTTGTATCTGCTTATCTTGTCTGCCTGTAGTGTGTATAAGTCGTGAGTGGAGACATGAGTCACAGCACTTTCTCACAAGCATCTGTGCGCACGAGTGCCCTCATTTTCCAAACCGCGTGGCCTCTTGCCTCCAATTGTCTGAACAGCCATGTCACTCTTCGTGTTGTCTTTCAGAATCACTATCAGTGACCCTTGAGGACTGGCCGCCACGGTACGTTTTTCACTCACACCTAACCCTGCCCCACAGCCTTTGGTGATGCATGAATCAGTGTTAGTCTAATTTCCCACCCCCATGTCTTCCCATCACCCCACTGCTCCATTCTGCCACTTGCCTCTCCTCTTAGTTCTTAGGTCCATGGATAATCCTCCATCCCCACAACCAGGACCTGCAGATCCCTGCTTGCTAGATCGTTGCCCTTAAAATGTGGATCTTTGATGGGAATGAATTTAGTTTTCTTTTTGGTTAAAAGAAAAAGGTGTGTGGGGTTGTTGTTGTTTTCTTTTTTAAGAGACCATGGAATTGGTTGATGGGAATGGCGGTGAGAGAGACTGAAAATTGAATCGTATATAAAGAGAAACACAAGGATTCTCCAACATGCAGTTCCTTCAGAGTTCTATGTTTTAGTTGTTAACTAACAAATGAGCCTTGTCTTACCTGCAGATGATCAGTTACAAAACAAAAGCAAATGAGTGATGCACTAGATATATTGTCTTGTTTAGCTCAGAGAGAGAGAGAGAGAGAAGTAAATGAAGGAAGAGACAGCATATATCACAAACATTCTTACTGGTTGGAAAGTATTACTTTTCAGGACTGCCACCCTTCAAAATCAAGCAGAAAGCACCATCAATCATGGGGGGATTTCCGGGATTCCAGAAAAGCAACTCTACCAATCTCTCTCAGGAATGTATGGAGACATCTTCTTCCTGCTCTCCCAGTACGCTCTTGTAAATCTAGAAGTCAGCATGGGTAGGGTCAGAGCATTGATCCATTTCATCCAGTATTGTCTTCACCGACTAGCAGACTGTCCAGGGTTTTTGGTCATTTCCCAACCCTGAGTCCCTTTCTACAACCCAAAGACTTTAGCTTCTGGTGCACATCCTTGCTTAGGCTCTGAATTGCTTTCCTTCCATTCCTCCGTGCCTTCTAGCTCCTGACTGCTTAGTGAACTTTTTATGCCCCATGGTGCTCCCGCAGGTATCCATTTGGTGTGTGCGGGAATAGGCCCTGATGGATTGCCCTCTCCCCAGTTAAAAATAAAAAGACACAGAAAGGATTGCAGTCCCCATGTTGTTCCATTGCCCTGGTGAGCCCTGCTTCTCTAGAGTTTGCAGCCATGTGTCTGCTGACTTCCACTGAGCCAACAAAGCCATGCCCCCTACAGAGACACTGCAAGATTTACTCCTGCTGCAAAGTCATGGGCCAGCTTTCAAATGGGAAGAATAACCCCCAAATAGATGATTTATTGATTGATTGATTTTTACACATCTGACATTTTCGACTCTCTGAGGGGTTAAGCTGAATGACAGTGAATAGCCCTTTCAGTTCCATGGCAGTGTATGCATGACGTGGAATCCGTAATCTAACACTACACAGAGGTAGTGAGATGTCTCGAGACAAGGTGGTGAGTCAGCTTCAATCCACATGGAACCATTATGTTTGAAAAACCTCATTGGCCTTTGCCATTGCAGATTTTTCTCTGCCTTCAGGTTCCTTCCCCCCCCCCCTCCGGACCCACTTACCTCTTCTTCTAGAACTAAGGGGCCTTCCCTAGTGGTGCCTTGCATTTTTTTTCTCTCTCTGTGTGTGTTTCTCTCTTCCTCTATCATTCCCTTTTTCTCTCCCTGAAAAATGCAACAATGGATTTTCAAACACCAAAGAAATCGAGGTGACCCAAAACGCCTGTTACGTGTTTTGCATTCTGGTTAAGGAAGGGAAATTCCCACAGGAGATCTCTGCAGCAATGATAAAACGAACCAACCAGAAAAGAGGGAGTCACAGGGCATTTTGTGTGGAAATAAAGTCCAGCCACAGATTCTGCAGCTAAGGAAGACAGGTCCTAAGACAACTAATAATATGTATTGATGATGTTTCCACACGTCAGCATAGATTTCTGTTATGTGTTGTATTTTCATGATAGACAACATTTTATTTATCTTCTTGACATGTATTGGTGCACAAGACACTGCGTAAAATGTAAGGGACACATCTTTTGCTCCCTAAACTACTGTTGGCGTTTGCTATGAATCACACAGTCCTGTCCTGAGAGCTTCCTCAGCTGAGGGAGGTGGGGAGAACAGGAGACAGCAATGAGCCTTGGAACAAAAGTCTCTCTCTTGTATATATTTTGTCTCTGTCTGGGAATAAGAAAGAGGGGAAGGGGATGCCTTTTGTCCACCTGCTTAAGGTAGGGTCCGGAGGTGTGAGTGTCTCCCATGAGTTTCACGAGTGAAGGGAGGCCAATGGTAAATCAGGTAAAGGTGCTAGTCCTCAACATGTCTCTGTATCATCTCCAGCAAATGTGTACATTTTTCCTGGTGCTGAGTGTGCATCATAGAGGCACATGTCGCAGCTCTGGGGGCTGCCACATGGTGGTCCATATGTAGCCGCAGTTTGGTGGTGACTGTGTTGCTTCTGAAGCACTCTCCTTTCCTCCTTCCGGCCAGCCCTCCTCAAGGAAGGACCCCAAAGTGACCGTTCAGCTCCCTTTAGGCTGAACGGTGACTGAAGGAGACTTTTCCCAAGGAGATCTGGCTGTTGCCCATTCTTCTTCTGGGACTCGCTGTTGGGAAACTCTTGCCTGCCCTGAGCCTGGATTACAAAGTGGGGTGGGAGGGAATGGCTAACGTTCTCTTCCCAGTTTGGGAATTGCCTGGAGAGAGCAAGAATTCTGCTTAGCAAACCATCAGCGTATTGTTTAGTTTTGTCCCTGCTTTGCTACTATACTTGTCATTTCCTTCCCCCCATGCCAGATTATTATTATTATTATCTCGTTTTGTGTGAGATAAGTGAAGAGTTTGGCAGTCTGTCAGAACCCCCCGCTTGCCCATCAGAGTTTCCTAGCCAGCCTTAAGGCAAGGTTATGTTTGCTGCAGCAGCTCAAACATACGAGGGGTTGCCTACCAGTACAAAGTCTCGTGAACTAGGCGCAGACTACTGAACCCACAGATTAGCTTCTCTCAGACCAGAAAGGTAGCCCATGTGAAGGGGGGCGTTGAGTCTTGGACAGAGGGATGGCTTCAGAGATAGTCCAAATGGGCTTCCTAAATTGGCTGTTTGTACTTAAAAATGCCAGTCTTTCGCCCCTTCATCTGCAGAGTTATAAGAAATTCTGCTCTGTTGTTCGCTACAGGGTAACAGCGCCGACTAACTTTAAATCTATTAAGCTGCATGTTTTCACACTCTGCCTGCTTGCTCCCACTAGAGCCCCTCCTTATGAAATGTTTGGCCATAGATAAAGATGTTGTATGTGCCCACAATGGGATTACTTAAAAGGTTAACTAATTAGTTCAGATTGCATCGCGTCCCTGCACAGCAGAAAGGTACTAGAGCTAGCCCATGCTTAAGGGAAATGTACAGAAAATTCATCAGAAGAAACTATAGTATTGACCTTTTATTCCCAGAGGGTTTAGGATTATTTACAGCAGGCGTGCATTCTACTTCCGAGTATAGGTATTCCTGGAGAGGCTTACACAATTAAAAATCAGACAAACACTAATTAGAGAGGGATGAAATTTTAAAAGCACTGGAGCTATGGGTTAAAAACGTGCAAAAATAAATTGAAGCAAAGCAAAACCAAACAACATTCTGGCTCAAAGTGAGTACAAGCCAGGCTTTTCTGGAGCCTGCCTCCTACCAGGTTGTGTGGAAGTCAGTGGAGGTTGTGTTGCGCTTGGGTTGCAAGAAGCTTCACGCTGAGCATGGCCTCTTCATCACACCAGTCGGGAAGCATCCCAAGTGGGAGAGACTCAAAACGATCAGGAGTTGTCCACTGGAAGGAGTTTGGTAACCAAATTTGTAAATGAATTTGTCCTAGGGGTCTAACAAGCGGTTTGAAAATGCTGAGCTCAGCTAGCTGTCAAGATCAAAAAGGCGCAGACCAACACCCGCTTTGTGGTAACAACAGTGGAGTGTTCCTGCTCCAGACTAGCCGGCAACTTCTGAAACAGCACCTCCCAGAGGATACCACTCATTCTGTGTGACATTGCGCCTCACTCGCTTGGTACCGTGTATAAGCATCACAGTGGTTGTGCTCCATGCTTCTCGACACTCAGTCTGGGTACCAGGACCACCTCTCGGGGCCGCTGTGCGTGGATGCTGGAGAGCCGTCAGAGGCAACTGCCAGGATAGTCTTGGGTAAAACCCTAATGATGGATGAGGACGCCACCAATTTGTATCGGAGCTTTAAAATCCTTCCAGCTAATAACACTTGTATTAAAACTAGTGGTTGGGTTTTCTTTTTGTCATTTGTTTAAGGTTTACATTTCTCTCTCTGGCCTTCAGCAAAGGTCCTGGCCAGGGTGAGGTGGAGAAGCATGCCTGATCATGACTGGCCACCCTGCTAACCTGTGTGTGTGTGTCTTCTCTTCTTCTTTTTCTTCTTCTTCCTCTCTGCTCTCACAGCCGGAAAGGCCCTGCTTCACCTACTCGACCCACCATAATCCGACCAGCTGAACCGTCCCTCTTAGACTTATAACAACCTGAGGCCTGTAGACAGCTGGCGCCAAGCACCGGGCCCCGGGGTCAGGGGTGCACTCACTTGCCCTAGCAACCCAACCCTGCCTTCCCTGTTCCCATCATGGCCACATCGGCTTCCTTCCCTCCCTTTCCCCATGTTCGTGAAATGCTCATTAGTGGTTGAGCTCTTCTTTGTTCTTCTCTCGTGCGTCCTGTATTGCTTCGTGAGCATAGAGTAGTCCTAGTTCAGTGGCATGGGGGACTTGGAAGGACAGAAGCTCCCTGGGGCACAGGGTTAGAGGAGCATCCATATGTGCCAAGGTGGCAGCTGCTGCTTCAACTTACCTGGTCTGGCCTGCGCACGGTGACTGCCCTGGTTACGCGTAGCGTCTAGCGCTCATCGGTAGCTATATAGCTATTTTGTTTTCCTGCCGTTTACTTAGCATGGAACACACATTTTGTGTTTGCTGTTCCTGATGAGATGTACACAAAAAGATACTGTTCATGTTCTTGATGGTGTTCCTATGTGGGTTTGGGGCCTGCCCCCTCTCAAGAAGAGGAGTAACAGAACAATGGGGAAAAGGTTTACTGAATGGTGCATTCTTCCAGACCAAGAAGTCTCTCGTTCTCTCCAAGTGGAAGGAGTCAACACCGTGGGTGACCCTCTTACGTTGGCTTTGGGGAGCTTGTATTACCTGTTGCCGCTGACTTTTCACAAACCCAGAGAGAGGGGCTAATGTACCTCCCTCTCCAGAACAATGGATTAGCTTAATATTTCCAGGAGAGTTTGCTGTGTAAATGTTTCCTTGCAACTATCTTTTGCTTCAGACAAAAACAAAAACCAGCACAAAACACACAACGTATTTGTTGTCTTGAGTATCCCGGTGATTCTAGTATTTACTACTTGCATGCAGATGGTACCTATTTGTAATGTGAGGGAAAACCTTTGTCTCGCTCCAAGTCTTGACTCATACTCTTCTTTATGTACGTGCTGAGAGGTAAATACAAAAGCATTTAAAGAGGCGCCTCCAGTTCTGTGTTCCTCTGAGAGCCAATTTCTGCCACCCTCCTCGCAAGTCTTCAAGTCATTCCCACTTAAAATTTTAAGTTCTTTTAACCTGACGCTGTTGCTTTTGATTTCTGTTGACGATCCTCTTGACGCTAAGTTCTGATGTCTGTTCCTTTCCACATTTTAACTCTTGTTTTACTTTTTTGTCCCTTTGTTACCCCCCCACCCTCTCTCTCTGCCTTTTTTTATTTTTTTGGTGTTCTTGTCTCCCTTTAAACTCCAGCCGCCCTGGCAAAGCTAGCCCCTCCCGTCCGGAGAGTCCCAAACCACCGTATGACATGTAAACCCTGCTCCCTCTTCAGATCCATCCTTTATCTGCCTCTTAGCTGTTCTGTCCTGGAATGGTTCAACGCACATCTTTAAAACACACACACAGCTTTGTTCTGTCGTAGCTCGTGGCTTGCACACATCAGATGTGACTAGTGAAACTGGTTTTTCTTCCTCCCAGTTGCTTTAAAGGAACTTAAAAGAACAAGTTAAATTGTAGTATTGAGAAACATATCTTTACTGTTATATAAATATCTATAAATATCTATATATATATATAAAGAACAAAATCTATATGGTGTCCAAAAGTTCTAAGCCTTTAATGCTTCCAATGTTGATTTTAGCAAATACTTGAGTAGGAAGATTATATATATATGTATACATCTGTACACTTGTGCACCCAACAAAATATAACCCAACCTCGGCAGCAAGCCCAAGATGATCAGTTCTCTGCTGAACACTGTTGGGTCATTCTGTTACCCCGAAATTGTGGGTGAATCTTCGCAGTGCTGGTAGTACTTGTGATGCTGTCTGTGATCTGTCAACTTGTTTATTCACTGAAATAAACTATTATTTCTGTAAAATGGAGACTCCATGCCTAGAATAAAACTCTCTCTCAGTGCTTTCGGGATCTTACATTTAATGCTGTCAAGGTGTTTGCAACAAGACATTTCTGGAATGGCGCACATAGTGAATGATCTCTGCAAATAAGGCACTGTATATGGTATTCTCAGGAGCAAGGGATTTCCTGTAAAAACACTGCCACCCACCAAAACTGCCTAAAAGTCACAAATATTCTACATAGAAATTGTAAATGGCTTTAATCCACATGGAGGACCCTAGCCATTTTCTTTATTCATTTGTTTTCCCATAAAGAGATTATTCTTGTGAGCCAGCCCACAATGGAGATGCCCGCTGAGCCCAGTCTCATGTATTGTTCTTAAGATGTTGGTCCCTGGATAGCAACCAGGCACACAAGAAGCTATTTCACAACTTGAGAACCTGCACAAAGCAGGGTGATGAGATGCCAAATTTGGGGGGGTTAGCTGGAATACTGGTCACTCCCGTGCTGGTGTTTTCACACATAATCCTTGGATTATGTAAAATAGATGAAGTTAAAGTAAGACAACAGATGATGGGGTAACTCTCCTGAAATAACAGACCAATGTGAAAAGACTAAAACAAGGTGTCCCTTTAAGCAACAGCTTGAGAGCAAATTCAGTTCTCAGAATCAACCATTAAGAACAATAATTAATTTGGTTGTATCTCTCTGTACAGTGAATGGATGAGTCTGAGACTTCACTGAGCAAGCGCTAGAACGTCAAGAACAGTAGACTGGAAATGGTGCAGGTAACTCAGAAGTAACACCTCCTACAAGAAAAACAGACCCCAAATACAATGGTGGGGAATCAGTGATGGGGAAGAGGGTTGCTGCCTCAAAATGGAAGGAGTGCCATCGCGTTAGCTCCCCAACTGTAACTAGTCACAGTGTCCTCTGAGACGGGTGGGCAGCCGGAGGCCCTAGAGCCAAACCTGTCCCTCCAAGCATTCTCACACTGACCACTGGCCCCGCTCCCCCACAACAGTGTTTTTAAAAGATCACAATACCTCTCAATGGGCCTCGTTTTCAGCAGTAAGAACTTTTATACTCAATGGGATTTTTAGTTCCACCTTTTCGTCCTTAGCCTTGCCCATCACTGGCATGTGGTCCTCTCAGAAAAGAAATTGGGGTTTTGGGCTGGAAAAGGTTCTCTATTGTTAACAGCGGTGGAAAAAGCACTAAAGTAGGTCAGTGTAAATGAAAAAGTATGTCCACCTTTTTTCTTTCTTTTGGTCTTGTAACCAGAGAAGAATTTAGTACCAAAGACCTTGGGAGGGGGGGAGGGGGCAACCAAGTGTGTTTGCAACACATATAACTCAGTAACTTGTGTTTAACCAAGAAAATTGCTAGGTTTTTCCAGAATATAACATGCAGAGTATGCTACAGGTGGAACATGGTTTATTCAGAAAACAAATTTGTAACAGGGTTAAATTATCTCTGCCATAGAATGCAATATTCCTCTAATAAGGTTTTTCCTTTCACATTCCTGGAAAACCAGACACCCAATAAATATTTAACAATGTTCCATATTAAATCACATACCCTGCCCCCCTCTCTGCTGAAGTTCAATAATTTTGTTTTATAATACAAGGTTATGCGTAGCCTTCCAGCAGCCCTAAATGCTACCATAGGATTCTTCTCTTCTTTAAGGTATATACAAAATGTTACACATACATACTATGTACACTCGTGCAAACAGGAGTTCACAAACCTGCTTTGCTGGTGCCCCAACACAATGCACTGAAGTAGTAACACTGACCATCAAAGCTGTGCTGATTCCTGGGACACCTTTTCCACTTGCCGATTGAGGCTTCCCCTCTCAAGCTCTATCTACAGAGCATGGAGAGCACAAGAATTTAGTCTGTGGCTGTTCTCCACTGGAAAACTGGGGGAGGAAGCTGTGTCTTTCACAACTTCCCTGTGTGCTTTTTGGTTTCGGATGTGCCGCCTTGCAGCAGGTTTTGCCAGAAGGAAAGGCTCTGACAAAAATGGAAGAACCAAGGACAGAAGGGACTGGCAAGGATCCCTCCGAGGAAACCGCAGAGCTGCTGCTCCTTTATCGGTGGCGCTGGTGGGCTTTACCCTTTCACAGAAGACTGTAGTAGCCCCAGCATAGTTATACTACCAGGGCTGCCTTTATGCAGACATAACAGAGATGTCTCCTACAGATAGCTTCCTAAAGGGGAACTGCCTATGTACGGAGTCCCTCTTGGCCACCTTTCTCTCTGTTAGGAGACAAGATCCTCCTCTTTCATGGAACTCTGCTGACTTCCTGTACGACAGTTTCCTGGGGAATATCCCCCCCAACTCTAGGCTCCATCAGGATAACCCCTACCCGGCTAGAAAGAAATGAGATCCAACTACAGGTCACTGAAATTCCAGAAATCAACACAAAAAGAATCTTCATTTTTTCCCCAAGGATTTGCTGATGTTTTTAAACTAGGCTTCCCCATCTTTAAAAATAAATAAAATCATCTAACACAAGACGGCAAAGTACATCATCTTCAAAAGAAGTGCAGTCCTATTTTCACCCACCCTCAGATCATCTGTACCCAGCAGCCAAGATCTACCTGGGAAGGGTACCTGGCCTCACCACCCACCACGACTCTCTCTCTCCATTTTTTCAGAATAAAACAAAAAGTAACGTTTTCGAAAAGGCTTGCCAGCGAATCTCTTGTTTGGGGGAGGGTGAGAGAGGAAGGCTGGCTTCCTAAGCAGAAAGACTGAAGTCCTGGGCGAAAGTCAAAGAGGATCCAAACCGTTCATCCCCATAACAAATGAGCGGGACGATGCCGGGCGAGTGGCTACAGTGACAAGTGGAACAAAGCCGTGGCCTGTGAAACCGACTGACCAGCGAGGGAACCCAGTCTAAACGTCCCTGGATGTGACCTTACACGATCCTGTTTGGGAAGGGCAGGAAAGAAGCAGGCAACGCCTGGCACTCACATTCTGCCCAGCAGCTCCATCACAATTGACCCTTGCTGGTGCAACCGAGGCATGTAGGATAGGAAAAAAAATAACGAGGGGGCTTTGGCTCCTCCACATGCGCTGTGCCGGATCACACCACCATGATCCTGACTTCGTCATTCTCATCAGCCCGGTAGAAGAAAGGAATGCAGGGGTTTTCCAAGAGAGGGCCCAGCCTGTCCCGAGGGTTCTGGATCTCACGCAGGAGCTGCATGATCTGCTTGGCTGTGGGGTCCTGAGGAGCAGGCTGCGGGCCTTTGCCATCCGCGGGGTGGGGAAGGGGCTCGGAAGGTGCGGACCCCTCTTCTGGCTCATCTGACAAACTCACTTCTCGCAGTCCTAGGAGGCAAGATGGGAGACGGCACTAGAATTCTAGAGGGAAAAGGCCGGGGCTCAAGAGCTCATCTGAAAATCCCTCCCTGTCTCACACACTGGCACCCAGAAATTCTTCTGCCAGACATGCAAAGGATGGTTACCACTGCTCTCTGCACATGCCCAGAAGTACATCTCTGGTACTGACACATCTCAAGTTCCAAGTCTCAATCTGGGCTCTGAAATCAGGCTTGGAACACAAGGCAAGGATATAATTCCATTTTCTTAGCTATGGCAAGCTTTGGAGCTCCCCCTCTTCCCAGTCTGCCCCCTCTGCTTGTGTTGGATTCTAGTTTCCACAGTCTAGTGGCCATGGTGGCCAGGAATAGTGAGAACTGTAAATCCAACACATCCGGAGCAGCTGCTGCTACCGCCACTGCTCACCTTCCCCATCCGTAGCATTCAGCTCGAGGCGTCTTTCTGCTGTACCCACAGCTTCGCTCCCCAGTCCAGGCTGGGGCTCTGTGTTCTGCGCCACCACCATGTACTTTGTGTACCATTCATTCCTTTCACTGACCAAACGCATCACCAGTTCCTGAAGCTCCGTTAATTTCATCTGTGGCAAATCAAAGTAAAGAGAAAAATCTGATCCACCAAAAAACACACACACGCCCGTTCCACAAATTACACAGTTGACGATAAAACCTGACACCACTTTTCTCTAGTCTCTAGTATGAGAGAAATCTCTCTCTTTTTGGAGCAAACACTGCCCACTCTGGAAGTCTTTATAGTTATTTTAAATGTCCCTTGTCAGCAGGGAAAACACACACACACCCCTTTCTTGTTCACACACACGTGCACAGCCCGGCTCTTCAGTTAGATAAGAGTTCCCAGAAAGAATTTTCAAAAGAAAGCCACTTGATCCTTTATGCAAAGTAGACCAGGCTCTGGATAAGTTCCCTAAAGGGGAAGACCCTTTCTTCTTTTTACTCTCTATGTAGCACCATCAAACTATAAGAAGCTTTATGTAATAAGGATGGACATGCCTCTCGTAACATGTGGTGAGCATAAGGATGAAGTCCAAGAACAGGAATGACGGAGTGGGGTTGTGCTTACCCCTAACTAGTTGTTCACTAACACACAGCCCCCCCCAGCCCTCTTGACCTTTCCCAGCCCACTCCTCCTAGGATACCATAGGGCAAAATGGGTTTTCTAGTGGGGTCAAAGTAGAGATCTCTTGCTCACCTTCATTTCTTCCTTGTCCTGAGCCAGTCGGCTGATGTATTCCTCTTTCTCCCGGTGGCGCTGTTTTAGAATTGCCCTCTGGCTCTGGTATAGAGCAATATACTCGCCTGAAAAGCAGGAGAGATGATTATGGCTGAGCAGGCCTGTCAGAAGAAGGGGGCCGACAGCTACAGATCTGCCCTTAGACAGAGGAAGGCTCTTTTCCAAAAGCAGCCTATATTGCTGTTATTGTACTAGTAACAAGGGCAACAATAGAAAAGTTTCGTTCAAAACCAATATATAAACTCTTCACTTCCAACTAGAATATGGTTGTATTTATTTCATTTGCCTCAGAAGGGGAGATCACCAGAAAGTAGTGAGAAGCAGGCAGTTAATTAGCAGTTTCATTTTAAGTAACCAAGCTGGATAATTTCAGAGTGTGCACGAGAAGCTTCTGGCCATTTCACTTGCTACCTGTTTTTCCCTTTGTCTTTATGAGGACTGGACAACATCCAAATCACAAACATAATAATAAAAGCAAAAACAGAAACAGATGGGATCCTCTGGACATGCAACCAAAATCTGGGCAGGACACGAAACTGTCTCACCTATTGTGTCTGTTTCTCCGGACAACTGTATGCACCGATGCTCCAACTCCTCGACCCGGTCTTTTAGCTCTGCTTTCTCATGCATCAGGTCTGTGAATCGGGACTAAAAGTGCAAGAAATGTAACTTCCTGGGAGCAGCAACAGAAAGTAGAAGCAACCACCTATTCTCAGCAGTCCAGCTAAGCCCCATCTTTATCTGGTTCTGGCTCTCCTCCTGACTCACACCACACTACTGTACTACAAATTCTCTCTACCCTATCTTGTCCTCTCAGCCAATCTTGATCAGCTTGCAAAGCCACACACCCTCTGTCTGCCACTCCATAATGGTCAGTCAAGCCACCCATGCAGACCCCAGCAATCCAGTTACACTGTAGAAAGAACATAATTCCGTATTTTACTGTTATGGCCGTTGATGGGTTACGCTGCAAGAATTATGTGGCACTAGCAAAGATGCTTTGGTACCCACCTGGGTTCCCCATAAAAGTGTGGCCATGTGCTCACCTGCAGCTTCTCCATGGCATTTTTTAAGGCTTCGTGTACCTCTGCTGGAACGGAGTCTGCAGAAGAACCTGGGAAAGGCAGTAGATTCTATTTACGAGGCTATAGAAGAGATCACTGCCCAGGAGTCCCCACCTGGCTAAGACCCGGATAGCCACACTTGGGATATGTCTCCTTACCTCCCGCCGATGTGAGATGCCGCTGCTGCTCCGTTCTAAGCGCTGCAATCTGCTGCAGAAGGGCTCTGCCCTGCCTCCTCTGCTCAGCCAGCTGCTGCCTCATTTCTTCCCGCTCCGTCTCCATTTGGGACATGGCAGAGGTCAAGAAAGCAACCTAGGAGGTAATCACAGATGTGGTACTTGAGCACAAGTCTTATCCAAAGGCTAAAATCCTCTCTGGGAGCCTGGTGAGGAGACACTGCTGCCTCCTTCAGAGAAAATGGGGCACAAAATCATACCCGGCACCATATACAACAGGGAGATGGAAGTCATTTCCAGGGTTGCAAGCAGAATTTATCTGCTAGCCCTGCTTGGAGGCCCATGGTCTTCCACCTGGTGGTCTTCCACCCTAATTCCTAACCAGGCATGAGAGTGGTTTGCTTAAATCAAGCAAGACCAGTTTATTCAGGGTGGCATACCAGTATCGGAAACATCAATTGCCAGTATTTCCAAGGCCTCATTCAGAAGAGAGCCCCCCCTCAGTTTCTAGGATGTGTCCTGGGAAAAGGGGGGGCATACTCCCTAAGGTGGTATTGCAATGACCCTTCTCAGCCCAGGGAATCTGGACAAACTGAAATGCCTGGGATACCCCAGCCACGCCTTCACTTCCAAAACCACAGCCACACAGATGTGCCCAGAATCTTCACCATTTACACACTTGCCTCCATCCAGATTGACAGCTAAAAACCAGCCACATGGAGGAATCAAGTACCAACATACTTGTTTTCCACATGACATCACCGAACGCGCACCCACATCCCACCCTGAGGCGATCCCACCTCTGAAGCTGGGACTGGCTCCTGGCAACGTGAAATCCTATGGCAATAGATTATTGCAAACAAAGGGAATCCAAATGGAACAAAAAAAAAGAGAGAGTAAAATGCTAGCATTTTTAATTTGGGCAACTGTTGAGCATTCTATGAGTATCATGGAAGGATATGAGACTGTGAGGCCATCCCTGAGAAACTGTCCTTCTCTCCTAAATATAGGAAGAGTAACAGTGCAGGTCAGAAGCATGGGGAAATTAAGTGAGAGGGAAGCATCTCAGGGCTAAGTCTAGACCTTGGACACATGGCCAGGAAATTCAGGATGCAGTGGCAAGGCTTTAGGGACGCCAGAGAGCAGAGCTTCCCAGTTGTTCTCCACCCGATATTCCCATTGCCAGCTTGGTGGTGGCATTTGAGGAAATGGAACAATGGCTCACCATCTCCTCTTTACTTTCAAAATCTTCTGGGATGGTGAGCGAAGGCATCTTCAGGCCCTCTACCCTCTCTTCAGTTTCTACGCCATCTCCTGTAAGCAAGAGGAGAGGCACAGAGAGGTTGGGACACAGAGAAGCTGGCACCAGCCCTGCGGCGGCTGACGAAATACCAACTTGCCTTGCGCCCTCGGAAGCATCTTATCGTCCAGCTCTGCCATGAGCTGGCTGACGTGAGCCTGCAGCTCTTGGTTCTCTTTGGCAAACGTCTCCAGGCTTTCCTTTAAGAGAGAAGAGGTAAAACTTTATTCCAGCCATCCAAAAAGACTTAAGCACACCAATTCCGACTAGACTCATTGCATCAGCACAGCCACAAAGGGCGCCAGGACACAGAGACAGGTTTTTGACATGCTTTCTCACTCCAAGGATCTCACCTGAGATCCTTCTGGAGGATTTCCAGCCCCTCCCTCACAACCCCAGCACCCTCCCTTCCCAAAAGAGAGCTCCCAATCAGGTCTTTCTGGGTGGCTGCTTTGAGGCTCTGAACCCCCTTCCCCAGAGAGGTTAGGCTGGTCCTCACCCTGTCATCCTTCTCTTACTGTTCAGGTAGGTTCTGGTCAACTGTCAGGGAGCTTTTAAATGGGTGGGTGCTGCTTTTTATTTTATTTTGGCCCATGTGTCTTTAAACCGCTCTTAATTCAACACAAATTATATGATGCTTTTGGCCCTATTCTGGCAGCAAGATAAGATACAAATCCAATAAACAATAGTAAAGTACAAAAGCCAAATTGCATATAAATCACCACCACTTCTTACTCTTCCTTCCTGTCCCTCTCAGAGGTTAGGCAGCCTCATGACTGCTCTGACTTCAGATGTGGGAGCTCTCGGCAGAGAAATCTTTTGCACCCAAGCAATCCTTACCCTCACAACTCAAAATAACACAGTCACGCAGACATCTGCACTTATCATTCTAGGCACAGAATTGGCTTTCCTAGTGCAGAATTTTGATGGATTGGGCGCCCAGCGGTTGCTCCCAGGATAGCATGTCAGGTTGCCAAGAACTCAGTCCTGACACTCTCTGCCTGTTATGAAAAGGGAGGCCTCTCAATCCCTCCCTGTGTTCACTCCCATGGCGATCCCACCACCAGCCCTCACCCTGGCTTGCTGCAGCTCTTTGAAGTGCATCTCCGCTGTGACTTTGCCTTGGACTTCCTCGTGCTGCAAGCGGTCCATGAGCTGCGTCTGAAGAAGGTACTGCTTGTGCAGTTCCTCCTTCTCAGCGGCCAGCTGCTGGTAGGCGGCTGTGTACTGCTGGAGGTGGGTGTAGTACTGGTCCCGCTGCTCCTGAAGGGCCTGGGCCTCCTGCGTTTTCTGTGTCACCTAGAATAAAGCAACACCCAGCCCATCACCCTAAAGCCCAAAGGTGATCCAAGACGGTCACATACAGTATTTAACAAGACATTTCCCTCCCCACCCTCACGAATGATTAGGTACAGAATCACCATGTCATACTGGGTCATGATCAAAGGACTGTGAGAGACCATGATTTAAGAAGTAGGAAACGTGGCAGCCACCTTTGCAGGAAACACAACAAAGACTCTTGTGCCACCTTGAAAACGACCATGTTTTACTTGACATCAGCTCCCGGTGCATGGGATGAGGTGAGCTGCATGTCGGTGTCTCAGATATGAATCTTACCACCCTAAATACATCAGTCCGATCTGATTTCAGAAGCTGAACAGGGTCATGGCTGGTTAGAGCCTGGATGAGGAATGACAGGGAATACCCAGGGATGGATCTTCTGGTGGGGCTAGGAACGAACCCTGCCTGAAGCCTTCAAGAACCATCGCTGACAGTTCTGGGTTAGAAATAAACGGCCTGACATAGTTCAAGACCGACCATCTTTTAAGGTGCCGGGAGACCCGGTCTATGAGAACCAGAAAGCTGGCAAGTAAAATGGCAAGCTGTGCCACTAAATCTCATGATTGAGAACATGAACCATGTTACTGGTCAGAGCGTCTCTCCCCAAAGGAATCTGCCTTATGCACCAGATCTTCCCAGGCTAGGCTCCTCCATGTAGCCTTATTCCAAGGGAGGCCCCAAAGTCTTCTACAAATGGCAGGGCCTTCTCCTCAGTGGCACCAACCTTATGGAACCAGCAATATATGTTTTAACTTGTTAAATGCCCCAAAATAGTGCTTCTGTACTAATGGGGCAGTATATAAATTAAAACCAACCAACCAACAAAGCATGTGCTGTCAGACACCACAGGCTTGATACTGCAAACCAACACTTTTCTCACTAGGAAGCTCCTTCTACATAAGCTATGCAGTTCTGAACTGTGATGACATCCTTATCTTGTCCTTGGTGTTTCCAGCCTAATCTAAGGAAGTGCTAGAACAGACAGACCAAGGCAGCCTTGAGGACTGCAAAGTCCTGATGGAAAAAAAATATGGGGAGACGACCAACTGCTTCTGCTTGGTCCCTATCACTGCATGCCCTGCTGCTAACTCCATCTGACAAAAAGGTTCTCCGGAGGGGGGGGGAGGGAATAGCGTTACCGTCTCCTTGAGCTCCGACATCTTCTCCTGCAGCTCCCCAATCTTCCTGGCCAGCTCCTTCTTCACATGCTGCTCCGACTGCAAGGCACTTGTTACTTCCATATTCTCGTTGGTCTGCAAAGGCGGAAGGAGGTGAGGAACAGAAGTCTCTCCGTGGTTGTAAGGAAGCAAATTTCTACCATATAGATTCTCATGCATGCCAACTGAGCAAGGTGAAGCTGCCTGGGTAGGGTTAAAGAAAAATGGACAAAGCAACCCCCCCCCTCCCCCAAACCCAAGTTCCTTGAACTAAGAGGCTGGGTAGGGTTAAAGAAAGATGGACAAAGCAACCCCCCACCCCCAAACCCAAGTTCCTTGAACTAAGAGGTTGGGAGGATCATCTCTGAACACACAAATTAACACATAGTAAACAAAGGACAGAGAATGGGGCTGAAAATGTCATCCACAGTTAAAGGACGTTCTGCCTCCTTAGATCTGATACTGGCTTTTCCCTCTCTTCCTGAAACAGTAAGAACCAGCGACTTGCTGGTGAGATTCAAGGGCTCCTCATGTTTTGAGACCATTCCTACATAGCACCATGCAAACAAATACTACTGTGCAGGAAGTATTATGAACCTGGGTAAAATCAAACTGCTTTAAGGGAGATCTAACGTGTTGAGGAAACTGAGATACAATCTTCTCAAAACAGAGAAGAGGGACAGGCAGTGAAGAGGGGGACCAGCGGAGGGAATGATATCCTGCTGGCTGAACAAGCAACTGATGCAGCTTTCGCCAAAGGGCTTTCCTGGTGTCTTCTGGCTTCTGTTTAGAGGGTGTGTGTGCGCACGCGCGTGCGCACGTTAGCATGCACATGTGCCCCCTCTGGACGAGAGGAAGGGAGCCCCTGCTTTTTGCCAAAAGGAGGGACGCACCAGTTTGACAAAGCCGTTCTGCAGCTCAGCCAGCTGCTCCTTCAGCTCCCGGTTCTGGGTCAAGGCTCGGCTGATGGTCGCCTTGTCGCTCTGCATGCTCTCCAGGATCTGCTGCCTGTCCACCGCCTCCTCGCTGTACCGCTGCAGCGCCCTCTCCAGTTCTTGCAGGCGCTCCTCTTGCTCGCGGTTGAGGCGGCTTAGCTGCTCGTTGTCTCGCACCTGAGCTTGGCACTCGTCCCGGAGCTCTTCCTTCTCCCGCTGCAGCCGGCTCAGCTCTTCCTGCAAGCGCAGCTCTGCTTCCGCCAACCCTGCAGGCGGGGCGGGCTCACTCTCCTGAGGCTTCACTGCTGGGGAATCAAGAGAGAGGAGAAGGAAAGGGGCTTCTTCGCAGCTTTCTCTCAGCTATTCCAGGACCATTTACAGCTGCATTTCGGGGTTTCTTTAAAATGTAAATTTTAAACCCTCCTAACTCAACAAATGACAAGTTGGGACAACACCACTCTGAACAGCTTAAAACGTTTTAACAATGAAAAGAAAGAAGATACAAGAGCAACCGGAAAACTAAATGATCAGCCATCACACCGTCACAGGTGATGAACGCTTTAAGGAACATGTATGCTTTGGATGGGCCACATGTTGATGAAATAAGGACCGTGTCTGTTCCACCTGGGTGTCTAAAAGGATGGCACATTGTTCAGGCTAAATACTTAAAAACAAAAATCTTCAAGAGTAAACTCACTTGAAGGAGGAGAGATTAAGGTGGGGGTAAACTTGTATGACTAAAAAGGTACACTACTTGTGTTACACAAACGCACATATGCAATTATAACTCCCTTATGGACATGACATGCCTTTTAAGATGCAGGGGATCTGCAATCGCACGCGTCTCACAGGCACGACTTTATATCTTGATGTGTACACCTAAAAACATCATATGCTATGTCTAGATTCGTTTTAGGGCACTTCTGACAGCTGGAGTGGCCTCCAGAGTCAGAAACTGGGTACCTGGAAGCTGCCCCAAATTGCCCATTGTTACTCAAGAGTCGCAGGAGAAGGGGCCTATTCCATGCCACCTGACACCAGTTGTTTTCCTTTTTAAAATAATCTTTTTTTAAAAAAACAAACCCAGAGATGCCTGGGATCAATCCTGAAACTTTCTTGCACACTAACTATGTGTATGACCACTGAGTTTGGTCGTGGAGGGAGGGAAGAGGATCGGAAAACCTTGCAAAATCGGATGGGTCTTTTATTGAGGGAGGGAAATTACCCCCCAGTGAGAAGCTCCCAGCCAACATGGCAGCTTCTGGGAACACCAGGGAGTTCTCCACAAGTACCTTTTCCAAAACCTCAGCCCTAAAGGTGGGTCTGTAAGGAGCAGAGTATGGGATCATGTGACACAGAAGGCGGCTTTTCTGCATCCTGAAACCTTACCAGACTGACTGCTGAGCAACTCTGTCAGGTTGGTTTCCAGCTCCTGAATTCGAGTGATGTTCAGCTCCTTTTCTTCTGTCAAAGCACGGATCTGCACCCCAGGAAAAAGAGAGGCTGGTTTCGGTATCCTTTCACTTGTGTGCAGAAGGTCATTCCCCTTCTCTTTCACAAGGCCAGGGGAGCTTCTCTCTGCTTTTCCCACCCAGCCACAATCCTTACCTGCTCAGAGAGCAACTGCACTCTTTGCTGCCAGATTTCCCCTTCTTCCTTCAGCTTCAGGACATACTGGTCGCGTTCCACCTGCAACTGCTGGAGCGACTCTGACAGCTGCTCGGGGAAAGGAAAAAGAAAGAAAGAAAGCGTAAGCCAAACACTATAGAGAAAGCCTCTGCGCTCTGGAAGGGAGCCAAGAGAATTTGCTTTGAAGGCTGAACCCCCAAGCCTGACACAACAAAGGGGCGCAGAGTGTGGCATGCTTTTAGTCCCTCTCCTACCTGAGCAATTTGTGCTTCCAAGCTGGCTCTTTCTTCCAGCGCCATCTGCAGCTGTTGTGTGGCGTCCGGGACTCCGGGCTGGCTTGAGAACTGGCAACAGAATCAAAGCAGCCATTACGCCCGATGCAGGGATTCCTAGCTGCTTCCCATTCCACCTCCCCCCCTCCCAAGCAATGCTCTTTCAGCCGCCACCCTTTAGTCGTACTGGGAGTGAACAGGAGCTCCATGCATCACGCAGAATCCTTCCCACCTAGAGTGATAAACCTGGGCTACGACGCAAGAAGCTGCTCCTACAGAAAAGCAGCAGTCACCTGTTGAATCATTAGCTCTGCCATTTCCAATTTCTTGTGCAAATCTTCCACCTCCAACTTCATGGCTGAATTTTCGGAGATAAGGCTGCGCAACTTCTCAGACAGTTCGGAGTTCTGCTGCTTTAGTTCTTCGCTACTTTTACTACAGGAAAAAAAAATCACCAAACATGGAGCGGACGTTGAAAAGGTTGTAACCACCAGTACTGTGTCACAAGCCAGTTTGCAGGTTCTGTCACCCATTAGCAAAGAGGTTTTTATCTCTGGGGTCCAGAACCTATATATATATTCTGACTCGTAAGATACAAAAAAGGTAGGGCTCCTGTATTGTTTTTAATAATAATAAAAAAAGAAAATTACAAACAACAGAAATAAAACCAAAATACAAACTCAGTACTGTAGTAACTACACGCAATACACAATAAACATTTCCCACCTGTGCGTAACTACACGCAATGCACAATAAACATTTCCCACCCGTGCCACCACCTTCACCCTTGGGACTAGGTAACCAATAATATCAATTTGCACCACTTTTCACCCCATTCCTCGCCAAAAATACATTGATTTGTCTGCTGGCACATAACCTTTCCCCTTCAAAAATACATATTCTGTCTGCTGGCATATAACCTTTCCCCTTCAAAAATACATATTCAAAGAATAATTTCCATACATCTTTGAAATCATCGGACTTTACTGTTCATTTCACATGTTAACTTATCATTAATAGCTAAACTCCACATTTCTTTATACTAATCTTCAATATTAATTTGTCACTTTTCCAATTCTTTGCAAATAATAATCTTGCTACCGAAACCACAACTAACTCTGATCTTTTTTCAAATGATCATTCTAAAATTATGTTCAAGAGGGCAATAATTGGCAATATCTGAATATCACATCATACTGTAATTTTTCTAATTTCCTTAAAAACCAATACCCGTTCTTCTTGTTTTTTTAAATTTCACATGTCCACAACATATAGGTCCTTTTTTTCCTTTTTGCATCTCCAGCATTGAGATGATATATTTTTATTTATTAAGGGCTCCTTAATATTTTAATATTAAGGAGCCCTTAATATTATTCGATGTTTTAACACCTATATAAAGCTAGCAATTTTTTTCAGGTGGACATTACTATGCAAGAGAGGAAAGGCTGTTTAAAAAAAAACAGAAGGAAAAAGAAAAAGGAGGGAACTCAAACATCTGCCTTATGTCCATCTATTCCATGGCTCTTCACATTGACGTGTGGCAATTATCTAAGGCCTCAAAAAGAGAGAAGGATCTTCCATCACTTGCTCAACATCCCTGTGTGGTTCACGGTTTGTTTGTATGCATTCCTGTCTTTACTGCAGCTCAGCAAGCTTGGCTGGCACCTCCCCTTTATTGGGATTAGGCTGAGGCTAGGAGCTTGCAGCTTGACCCCAGTAAGCTGGATCTGTGCTCTCTCGGCTCACCCCAAAAGCGAGTCGTCTCATAAGGAAAACCGAAACGCCCTTTTGTAGGACTAAGCTCCATCGGCCTCGGAACCAGCCTGCCCTCCAGGCCAACGGGAAAGAGAAGAGGGGCAGGTCCAACCCCAAGGGCCTAGTTTGCACAGCTTTTAGCCCTCAGCACTTCCACGTCTGCTGTTCCCTTCGTTCACCCCGCGTTTAATCTGGGCAAGCACAGAGGGGGCCAGGTCCAACCCTAAGGGCCTAGTTTGCACAGCTTTTAGCCCCCAGCACTTCCATGTCTGCTGTTCCCTTCGTCCACCCCGCGTTTAATCTGGGCAAGCACAAAAAAAGATCATAAACTATTAGTGCTGCGACAAAAGCAGCAAAGCCTCACCTCTGCTTGTAGACTTCCAGTTTTAGGTTATCTCGTTCCTTTGCCAGCTCTTTGTTGTGCTGCCAACAGAAAATATGCAGGAAGCAGTGAGGGAAGGGAGAGGCCTCTGGTCACTCCTCAACATCTGTGGTTTCTTTTTCAAATTCAAAAGGTGGCCATTTTCAGTCCCCCTTGCGACCACTGCCTAAGACTCAAGAAGCCGGTGAGAGCTGGAAAGGGCAGCTCACGTTAGCTGTATCCGGGGCGGAGGACGGCCATGCTGCCTCGACGACTCAAGCCTGCCAGGTTTGGCACTGGGGCCTGGAAAACCATCCAGTTTTGCTGCCTTACCACAGAAGCCTATGACCATCCCATTCCCGGCAGTAGCCGCCTGATGTCCCATGATACCCAGCAAGTGGCTAAGGAGAGCAAAACACACCTCTTGCATGTGTTTCTCCTCACCACTGAGGCATTAATGCATAATCCTGCATTTGTGTAACAAAGTAAAACACCACATCTGGAATGCTAAGCAAAACCGACAGCTCTCCTGTCCTGTCTTGGCCTTATCCTCAAAATAAGGAGGCAGCAACGAACAGCATGGTGAGTGTATGTATGAACGGATGTGTAAACAAAGAGGATTCTTACTTTCTCGGTCTGCTTCTGCTGCGTAGAGAGAGAAGCCAGAGTGTGCTCCACCTCAGATATCCTCTGGCGAGAGGACTGCAACCGAGCAGCGAGGTCCTCGGCTTCTCCTGTGGAAGGAAAGGAGGTTATCTGGCAACCAGAGTAGAGCAAACAGTTGCCTTCCAGGCCCGATTAAATGTGCCAGTTCTCACTTTTAAAAGACTCTAAAGTGATTTGGGGCCAGGATACCTATAGAATCCCACAAGCCCATCAGAAAGCCTGAGTATGTCCAAAGAGGGTCTTCTAGGCATCCGTCTGCCAAGGAGGAGGCATGACTGGATCAGGCCTTCCCAGCAGCTTACTAGATTCCCTGTCCCAAAGGGCTGGCTCTACTCGTCCCTAAGTGCAGCCTTCCTGCAAATGTGTCATACAACAACTGCCACTAGTTGTGTTAGCAGGGACTAATGGGAACTGTAGTCTAAAGCATCTGCTGTGTACCAAGTTCCAGAGGATCCACCAAGGACATTCAACGAGCAAGTGGAAACTGTTCTGTCCAAATGGGGTTTAAGGTTAATTGCCTGATTTTTCTGCTTATCTCTGCCTTCTGCTTGTGAACGAGCACAGCCTGTACTGTTCGGGAAAGACTGTATCTCAGTGGTTGAGTGGAACACTTTAATAATAATAATAATATAATTTATCTTGTGAACGAGCACAGCCTGTACTGTTTGGGAAGGACTGTATCTCAGTGGTTGAATGGAACACTTTCCATATGGAAGGTTAATCTCTGGTGCCTCCAGGTGCAGCTGCCGGTCAGAGCTGACTGGGCAAGACGGACCAAGAGCCCAACTCAATAGAACACGATGTCCTATTGCCTGTCTTCTGATCAATGCCAAAAGCAGCTTTCTTTCACCAAGGTCAATCTCTGATGCCTCCAGGGGCAGCTGCCAGTCAGAGCTGACTGGGCAAAACGGACCAAGAGCCCAACTCAACAGAACATGACGTCCTATTGTCTGTCTTCCGATCAATGCCAAAAGCAGCTTTCTTTCACCTGAAAGCCACTCCAGAGGTTCAGAAATTCTAGTACCCATCATCCCTATCTGACAGCTGGGATGGAAAATGCTGATGAGAACTGCAGGCCAAAAGACCTGGTGATTTAAAAGTTGGAGAGTCACCAACAGGAGAACCCGACAGTCTTGCTGTTACCTTTCAACCCTGCAGAGAGCCACACTTTTATCATCCTGTCTATCTAGGTCCAAAGATTGGCCAAAGAGACAGAAGGTTTTCTCTCTGCCAACTAACTCAGTACGAGAGTCATCTCCTGTGAGGGCCAAAGAGCATCTCCTGGTCTGTTTGCTGCAAAGCTCAAGGGGCCGCCTACCTGCTTTCTGCCGAGCGGCCTGCTGCGTGTGGGCAAGGGCCGTCTGCAGCTCCGACTTCTCGGAAACCAGGATACCGATGGTCTGAATGTGGACCTTCAAAGAAAGAACAGGACAGCTCAAGGAAGGGGAGGAAGACTCGTCCCTGCTTGGCAGCCTTCTGTCAAAAGCAGCGACCCCTCCCAAAAAACACACACAACCCAAATCATTAACAGGTGCCCCCCCCAGCTCCCAAACTGCCACATGGGGAACCCCTTCAAAAATCAGAAAGCAGCCAGACAGCCCCAAACGTGAAGGCTGATGTAAGGTAGGAAGAGGACCCCCTCTTACCTGCAACTGTTCTCGCAGGGCCGCTTGCTCCTTGGAAAACCTCTGCTCAAAACCTTTCTTTTCCTGGGGAAACACAAAGTATCCGTCTACAGGAGGGCCATGTTTGATCGAGCGGGTTTCCTCTTGCATCAGCAATGTTCAGCTCCTACCGTTTCCCTTCTCCACTCACCCAGCTTTGCTCCGGTTCATCGCAGCCACTCTACGCAGCAGCCCACAGACCAGGAGAGCTACTCAGCCGGTGGGGTTGCCGGTATGAAACCAACAACGCAACCTGCTTTGTGAGCCAACACAGCATGGAAGAATTTCCACTGCTTCCACAATCCTTTTCCCTAATTCAGAGCAAAGAGGAAGCCAGGAACCTCCAGGCTGAGCTAAGGAAAGATTCCTCCCTGAAGCAAGCCCTAGAAGGTTTCTTTCTGCCAGCCAGAGTCAGAGTCAACAGAATGCAGTTCCTTCTATTCCCAATGAGAAAGACTAACTGGCTATACTTGTTTTTGCAGCGGAGCATCTTACCGTTTCCAGCTGATTCATGGCTTCTTCGTTCTGTTGCTTCTGCAGAAGGACAAAGTGGAGGCATCAGAGTTCTGGGTGACTCATCTGAGTTAACCAAGCCTTCCCAACTGGTTAGGGTGCTTAAGCTGGACTAACACAGACCAGGATGACAACCAAGGATTCTCAACATTTATAGCTTTTTATTAGGATCAAACACACCTTTAACGCCTCACAGGAATATGAGCTGCAGTTTTATTAGGATTGAGCAACTTTTTGGTAAAAAGCAATGCTGCAACTGCATATCTCACCTTTTACAGTGAAAGCTGCTGTCCAAGCTTAGACAGGATTATTTAATGCAGTGTTTTAAGAAAAAGGAGAGGAGTCGAAGCATGGTTCGAATTCTGCTTCATACTGGAGCACCTCTTGGGCAGGGCAGCAAGCTTTTGAGCTGGACAAAACTTTTTGTACAGGTAGGCAGCTGTCAGCAACTCAGCCTGACCTTTTTACAGACACTCAAGTGTTGACCCCATTAAAGTGCGTCAAAAATTAGTTCTGGAACCCACCCATTTTTTTTGAGGCAGAAAGCCAGCAAGAGCTCTCAGGTCTATACAAAATGGGAAGTTTATCCGCCACAATAGCAACTTGGTGGGCCCAGTTACCAATTCTGTGAAGTGTGGGGTGCAAGCTACGCCTACAACAGAAACACACAACAAGAGACACTCCTGACTCGGGGTGGAAGTGCTTTCCATCCTAGCAGTGCCGCTGTGCAGCAGGCAGGGTGACAAGCAAAGACAAAGGCCCATGGCAGGACCAGGGAGACGGCATCGTATGGGGCACCACAAGCACCCGCAGACCTATCGCAGCAGAAGATCACGGTCCAGTCCAGAGACCCTCCCCAAGGGCAGGGCAGTTTTACAGGCACCCTCTTGGGTGTCTCCGTGCTGCACCGAACCCTTCGTCACCCTTCAGCTGGAGCATTCTCCCTTTGCCGTCACTACAGTCGGTACCAAAAGTCTGTGGTAACAGCAGCTACTCTCTGAGGCAAGGAAGGAAACGAGGGCTAAACCAGGATCTTTTCAATCCCCTCCTCTTTCCCCACGAGGAGGGAATGAATGAGCCCGAAGCTTGTCTTCATAATTTTAGACAGAATTACACATGAGCCCGGCCTCCAGATCAGACTCAGTGGCTGCCCGCAGGATCACAGAGCCATGGGCAGCCTCTGAACTTTCGCGCTCACTGCTACAGGCAAGAGGCTGTCTCCTCTTATCTTTGAGGAACCTCTCTCTCAAATGGGCAGCATCAGTCCCTATTTTTGTAAGGGGGGTGGGTGTTGCAAGCTCTAAAATATCCTAGGGCAAGGACTTTGCGAAGAAGGGAAATGCACAAAAACCTCAGGTCCTCTCCATCGGCATGGAAAATCAATTCTGAGGAGGCTACCTGGCCTTACGACTCCGGAGAGGAGGTCAGGGAAGAAAGAGGGGAAACCAGGAACTTTTCAGTCTCAGTGGAAGCAACTCTGCCCGCCTCCACACACTGACAGCAATAGTTTTCAGCCCCTTTGGTTCTGGTTGCAACAGAACCCCATGCCTGGTTCCCCTTGACATTTAGTCCAGTCGTGTTCTAAACGTCCAATATTTCTCCTATATAATGGAATCTGGTTTACTCTTTTCAGATGCTCACTACCTGGAGAAAAGCAACCCTGAAAAAGCCACTTGTGGGCAGCGCTCTAAGACGAAGCATGTCAGCGTCCCCCTGCAACACCTTCAAAGAGCAAACAGGGTATACAGAGAGCAAAGAAAGAACAATGCAGCAACAACCGAGAGAGACCGTGCCACAAGCTGGGGAGGATGAAATGGAGGGGTGGGGGGAAGAGGAGGCAGCGTTCTGAACAATGCAGGGCTCTTTGCTGACTCGAAAGAAAAGGCTTTGCACATTCCTGGCTGCATTTAAAAGGCAGGCAAATGGGCACCAGAAGCGACGCATGCAGGCCAGAAGACAGAGAGGCTCACTCAATGGGCAACAAGGGCTGATAAGGTGGTCGTGCGCAATCCCCACCCCCACCCCACAGGTTTGAGTCTAGCCTGTTTAGCCCCCAAACTCTGCTGGAACAAGGTCAACGGAGTCAATATTGTTTATGATAGGAAAGTTCAGCCAGAGCTCATTATGGAGAGCTCTTTTAAAATCTTTCCTAATCTGAGGCCGGTCTTTTAACCTGGCAGTTCCAACAAGGTTCAACAAATGTTATTTACATTTTAAGAGGGTGGGGAAAACTTTTTTCTTTTGCTTTTTTTTTTTTTGCAGTGGAGGAGAGAAGAACAGGTTGCGGGGTCCTCACAGGCCTTACTGGGTGGGAGATTCTAGAGCACACCCAAACAGGAGAGGGATGTTACTGTAGGGGTACGGGCGCAGCTAACCCCAAATCAGCGACCGTGGGATTAAAGCCCTCAGTTACAGATTTAGCCGGCTGGTGCTGCACGTTCCTCTTCTCTTGGCACCCTCCCTCCTCCTGTGAACAGGCAGGATTTGGCCTTCAAGACACTCCGCCCTTTCCATGGGCCTCCCAATCCTCTGCAGCGATGGCGAACCCGAGTGCCCAAACTGCAACACAAAACCAACTTATTTATTTCAAAGTGCCAGCGCTGCCATTAAACCTGAATACTGAGGTTTTAGTTTAGGGGAAAAAAACAACAACTGCCCCAGCACTGCAAAGGTTAAATGGTGGTTGCTGTCCCCCCTCCCCTTCTTCTTCTATGGGCAGTATTAACAGAGAAATACTTACCGGTCCTCCAATCCCTCGTCAGGCTAGACTGGCAATAGCCACCATTGCACCCTTCCACTGGACCAGCAGATCGGAGGACAGGTAAGTATTTCTCAATGGCAATTTATAGCTCACATGCCCACAGAGAAGGCTGTGCATGCCAGCTGAGGCACGCGGACCATAGGTTCGGCATCACTCCACTACAGCAACAGCAGGGAACCCTTTTCCATCTTCTGGGCCACATTCTCTTGGGGATCGTCGCTCAGGATCTGCAAACGGGGGCTGGCAGGAATTAAGTCAGAGGCGTGGGTGAAGAAGCTACTTTTTTCTTTTCCCCTTTTGAATGCTTTTCTCTCTTTTTCTCTCTCCCTCCCTCCTCCACAACCGTCTGCCAGAAGAGGGACAGGCTGCTCTTGTGAGAGAGGTCTAAACTGGCCGTTTGCAGGGGGTCACATGCAATGAGGCCAAAAGGTGCAAGCAGCCCACTCCTGCTTCACCAGAACCCCGTTTCCCCCTTTCCATCCTTCCAATGAGATGTCTTTGCAAATTGAACACATCCACTGAACCCTCCTGAGTAAGGAGACAGACATGATGCGCAATGGCACGTTGACCTTGTTCCAGCCAGAGTTTGGATTTTTGGACCCCTTGATGCTACTGGGACACATCAGCTCGGAGTCCTTATTACACGGATGACACCTTTCCTTGTGGCACTGTGAAAGAACCTCGCGGGACCTTGCAGACAAGCAGGGAAAACAGAGGAGCACAGCAAAGCAGGGCCAAAGAGGGCTGGCCTGGTTGTGGCTTACCAATTCCTCTATCTTTGTACTGAGCTGTTTGTTTGTTAGGTTGCTGGAGTCTAGAGCTACTGCCAGCTCCTGGTACCGTGTCTGATGGGCACATGCACACAGCAGGGAGAGGAAGAGAAAGGGAGCAGAAGAGAGAAAGGAAAAAAGGCAATTTTATTTTTTTAAAAAGAGGAGGGGAATTATTGATATCACAGCTGAGCTTATCCATGCTAAGATATGCAAGATTCAAAGACAACAAATGCACTTTGAAAAAACTCAGGATGGGCCCTCAATATCTCCCAAATCTGGCCTGGAAGGAAAAAGAGCATTCATTTAAACACCAAACAAATTGATGATAACATACATTTTTAGGGGGTTCTTACAGTTACAAAAGGCACCAAACATTCTACTGAGTGATTCAAAACAGTGACCAAGAGATTCTGACTGTGGACCTACCGCCATCTCTTTCATATCGGTCGGAGACGTGGCATTTTCTCCGTTCACATAGGTGGCTGGCTGCAAGACAGAAAGATATGTCACCACTACATGTGATCAGCGACGTGGATTTCCTCATACAGATCAACAGGAGTCTCTGAAAGACATTCCTCTCACACAGCAGCCGGCTCCTTTAAAACCAGACAGCTGAAGGTCATCTCGTACAACCTCGTGTATTCCTTTTGGGGCACACCTATGTTATGGGTCCCTTTCTCCCCATCACCTGCATTTATGAGAACCCAAAAGCAACCCCACTAGATTGAAACATAACTTATCCTCTCCAACAACCCTGTTTTCACACCGTGGCCAACCAAATGCCTCTGGGAAGCTGATGATCTGGCTGGACCTTGGCAGTTACTCATTGGTTATCTACTGATATCACATCTTTCCTCAAATGAACTCAAGACAGGATACATGCCCTCACAACACGACTGTCAAGAAAGGTAAGGCTGATGCTTTATAAAATTATCAGATTAGGGTCAAAACGAGGAAGCCTTGCATAATATGCGCCAGGTCAAAACCTTCCTGCTCCAGAAGGCTTTTAATTGAAATAATATCAACTGTGGGTCCTGATGTCAATTTTTTACTATATTTTAATTGTGGTAAGCTGCCCAGAGACCTTTGGGTAGTGTGGGCGGCATTTAAGTTATATAAATAAACATGGCCAACGTTATTAGAAATCCTGATGTTTCAATGCTAGGATGCTTGAAATTATCACATTTCTAACAGTATCTAAACTGAACCCAGTTAAAAAAAAAAAACAGGAAGGGCAGCGCATACCTTTCCCATGTGGTCCCATTAGCGAAGAGCAAACACCGCTTCCAGAGTGCGTGACATTCTTCAAGGTCCGAGAAGACTTTTATTTATTTTTTTGGCAATAGGCCAACCAGGCAACCTCCTCCCGAACGGGAGCCCCATGCTGTGTGCACTTCGGCATGGAAATTCTCTAAAACAGCATCCACAGTGTTCTCCCTACCTCTCCTGGAACTGTTTCACTCACAGTCCTCCCACATGTCACATAACACATTCAAGAAAACAATTTCTGGCTTTATGTATGAAAACATTGTTTGGGTGCAGAGATTCCTGGTGACTGCTGAAAATTCCTGAGCTGGCTATTTAGCCCTTTAACTTGGGTATAAAAATAACTAAGTAGGATAAATCAGAAGAATCTGGCTAGTACCTGATTGACCATGCCATTAATCTGCTCGGAAAGCTGGCGGAGACTCTCCGTCAATGAGAGGGACCTACAATTAATAATAATAATAATAATAAAAAGTAAGGTAGCTGTTTGGAAATAATTCTTATGCAGGTTGGGGGGGCGCACATGCCAGGGGAGGTGCAACATTACAGAAATGTAAACAGAGATCAAAATCTCTCACCTATTATCTTCTAATGTGTTGTGATGATCAGGTTCACCCATCTGTAGATGGAAACAGTCGTTATTACCATGCACAGAAGGAGGAACACACACATGCGCACCTGCAAAGGCATGCCTGCATTTTTAGACACACCCATAAGAACTCCCAAGACAGAGCAGACAGTGTTCCTTCTGGGTAAATCCTTAGAATATATACTGGCGGTTCAGGAGAGCCTTCCACTGCCATGAAGCTAAGCAGCGGGCTGCGTGGACATTGACAAAGAGGAGAAGGTGCAGGGATCGGGCAGCCCTGCATGCCGGCCTCCCCCCTCGTAATGTACTGCAGGGCCCAGCCTGATGGGCTGATATTTAAAGGAGGAGCACGGTGCAAGGGATGGCTCTCCGATGTGCTGCTCTCTCCATTTCAAGGACTGAGCTCCTCCAGCTGGCTGCATTGGATAAAGCTGTTCCCAGGAGAAAGGAGGTATAGTCAGCTTTCCCAGCCCACCCTGCAACCGTCATCGTCCCATTCCATGGCCTGGGTTAGCCTGGAGTGAGAAGGGTTGCAATCTAACTGCATTTTAAAAAACTGTTTGGGAGCAAGACACTTCCAACGAAGCTGGTCAACCAACCATGAGAAAGGTATGCCTAGGTCTCTTCTATGTATTGCAAAGCCAGTCCCCCTCGTGGCTGAAACTGGCAGCGGGACGGCCCAGTGCTATAGCTGGAAACCCTAAGCCCCTGTCACCTTTCCCCTTTATGCTTCACTTGGCTTTGTTCTGCACTGCACAGAAAACTATCCGGAAGGGTTTTCGGGGTGTATGGGGGGCGGGGGCAGGAATACGAACACTCACAAACCTGTGACATCAGCATGTGAGCAGGACTTGGAGCGGCAGAGCTAGGCAAACGGTTGCTGTTAGACAAGGTGGGGATGCCAGCAGCAGGCTGTTCAGTGCTATGGGCAGCAATCTCGCCATCACAGTATGCCTGTCACAAAACATACCACAAGCGTTACAAGCACCATGCAAGGGAGGGGCAACACTGAGGAGCGCATCTAGGCAGCGATTCTGCAGGCATTTGTCAAACTTGGAGATGAAGTGAGCGGGGGTGGGAGTGAGCTCATCCCACTGTGTACCTCTGATTTAAAAAACCCACAGTCATCCCTTAGTTTTTGCATGTCTCCGGGAAGAAAACTGACCCGGTAAGGTACAAGAAGAATGAACGAACTGCTTTTGGGGGGGGGGGGGTTAGACTAAGAATGCTTTCTTCCCAAGATGGTTTCCAGGGCCCTGAAGTCAAAGGGTGGCTGCCAGAAAACAGATCCAGAGCAAATGTTTAAAAAAAGAACGTTATCTATAAAGCTTAACTAAATTGGTAAGTACTAACTTTGGATCTAGATATTATTTGAAGATAAATATCAGGATACCCAAATTCACCCCACCCCAAATTCCTGGTTCAAGTTTCGAGGATTCGAGGAAAGGATGGAAGATACAAAGAAGGGAAATGGAGGCGGTAGTGCCTCCCTTCTTAAACCCAGACTGTTCTTGCATCAAAGGTGGTTGTAGGTTTTTCAGGCTGTTTGGCCATGTTCCGAAGGATTTCCTTCCCAACGTTTCGCCAGTCTTTGTGGCCGGCATTTTCAGAGGACAGGAGTTAGAACTCTGCCTGTGTTCTGGTGCAGTGTGTGGGATAGTTGATTATTTGTAGCTGTGGGATCAGCTTTTTGTCCTTTTCACGAGATTGGGTGGTTATGGTGATCAGGGTATTTTTTCGTTACGGGTGTATTGTTGTGATAAGGGGGCAAGATGGTCTTTCACCATGATTGACAGGTGTCGTTAGCTAGTTTCAGGTCCCAGTGGAGAAAGCCTTCGGGAATACATTGTTCTTGCATCCTTTACCAAATGAGAACTGTCATCCCTTCTAGCATCTTGGGGGTCTTATTCTTGTGCTAAGACAGGCTGAATGAGATTGAAAAACCATTAACCAACATTTTAAATAAGAATAAAAGGCATTTTAATGATGAGGGATTGCTTATCACATTCTAACACCACCTAAAGGAGTCCTACAGAGGATCAGTATCCGGCCTCACAATACGAGCACCCAGTTTTAAGTTTCTTCCCTTTGCCCAAGCAAATGGATAACTCAAGGTCAAACACAAAGGGGGGGGGCAGCAGTAGCAATTCTCCCTTGTTAACTTTCCAGATGCATACTTTGTCCTTTGAGACATCCTAACACTGCGAGGCCACTAAAAAGACCCAAGGTCCTTCTCAAATAGAAATCTCTTAAGCATGTAATACACACTGGCCAGGGGAGCAGGCAGGGAAAATTGTGTTTTGGAAGCTTCAGATGAACCAAGGTCCTAAGTTGCCCCATCACGGTAGAGGGCATCACGTGTTCTGACAGATTCCTGCTCTGCCTGGGCCCAGAGCCAGCAGGAGAGGAAGGAGGGACTTTCCTGGCTCTGTTGCAAACACCGTCACCACCGCCACCAAGAGCCAAGTTGGCACCGTCCCCTTCTTCTGCCCCACCGTTTCAGAAGGTCTTCCCTCTCAGCCCATCCTTAGCTGAGGCATGCCACCGATAACGCTGCACCTCATGTCCAGGGCAATTGAATTGAATTGCTCCACTTAACTGAAGTTATCCCCTCTAATCTATTCCTACTGGACTGGGCCCACAAAACCAATGGATATGTGGATTTCCCTGGAATGTAGTTCACTCCCTTCCTAACCGTTGCCCTGCTTGAGTGTGGATTTTGGAAACACAACACCTTTCCCACCATTACGGTGATACAATGGGAGAGCTAAAAGGCCTGGCTTTACCACCGCCAGATTTTCTGATGGACAGTGAAGACTACATCGTCCCAGAGTATATTGATTTTGTTTTTTCCCCTTGTTTCCTCTTTGAAAATTGTTTAGTCTGCTGTTATTTGTAATTTTGGCTTTTTAAAACCATGTTTTTCTTTTCTGTTTTTCGTAAGCCACTTTGAAAGTACTTTATTTAGAAAGCCGGAATATTAAATTAATAAAACATGATCCATGCAATCCAAAACTCTATTGTTATAAGTTAAATTTGAAATGGTTGATTCATTTCTCATGGTTAAACAAGCGCTAGGCCCTCAGTTTCTCATGCCCAAGACGAACTTTCTCATCCAAGAACGACATTGTCATGAAGTGCGATCCTGGAGAAACAACTTGGGGAAAAAGCAAGTCCAGCCACAGGCCAAAACTTTCCAACAACCCCTATAAAGACAGACTAAGATTTCGATCCTTGTGAACATCAAAGACCAGGGCCTAAATCCAACTGTTAGTTCCAGGTAGAACAGACTTATTGCATTAATGGAACTTACATAAGAGTAGACTTAATGAGTCCAATTTATTCAATGCGTCTACTCCAGTTGGGGCTCGCAAACAGTTTCTATCGTAACCGAAAAATAAACAATGATCTGGCTCTTCTTTATTTTGCAAGAAATAAATACCCCTATTTATTCGGAAAAGGCTAAGAAAGAAATCCTTGTTAGGTGGCCTAAACTCCAGCAACCTGGTTTCTGTTTTATTTATGGGTTGATCCAATGTACCAAAGACTGGAATTGTTTTTCTCCTAACAGATACATTTGTTTGCCTCCCAGGAGTATGAAGGATTTCTTGCCTTGGCCTGTTGGAATACCTATATTTTACCACATGTGCCCTTGTGTTCCCTGGGAGAATACAAGCTGGCACGAACGGCCACACAGCCTGGGCCAACAGCCTGATCAGAGATGAGCAAGAGCGTGCTCTTCTGAGGACAGATGTTTATAAACAAAACACTGACAGGGAGAAAAGAAGATCCCAAGAGAAAGAGGAGACGAGACAAGCCTGCAGTCCACAGTGAAGAACACCATTGACTTGTTAATTCACGGTCACATTGGAAAAAGAGGAAGCCAGGGGTAGCTGCCTTCATCTAATCCCTTCCGAGATGCCAGACATTGCTATAAAGCACCTGCTCTCTGACCAAAGCGATATCTCAAAAGTCCAAGGAGCTGTAATTTAAACTCAGCTAAAGGAAATCCACACAAGCATTAATGGGGGTAAAGAGAGCTGGTTAAAAATAGCCTGGTGTTAGTAACAACAAAACACACACAGCTGACAACAAATGTCCCGAAAGGAGATACGGATTCCACCCACTCCCATGAAGAGATCCTAAGTCTTAAACGGGCTCAGAAGCATGCAGAGCAGACAGACAGACAGTCGGCCGGCTGGACGGGATCTGAACGCTGCCTCACCTTTATCTTGTCCAATGAAGGTATGGCTACCCCATTGGAGCGGTTAAGGTCTGACACCAGCACCTTCAGAATGTTCTGAATCTAAAGGAGGTGAAAGAAAAGGGGAAAGAGAAATAGCTGAGAAAAGGGAAAGAATGTGAACATCGATCCATGGGTACCCTGAAGCCAAAGGAATAAGAAAAAGGACACTGCCCAAGATCCTAAAAACATCAAGAGGACAGTCAGTTTGGGTGAAGTCAACAAGAACACACTTGCACACATGGGGCTCAGGATCAGGGTGCAAGTTCTTTTCATAACATCCTTCCAAAGTAATCTCAAGGGGAAAATGCTGGAGTCAAACCTACTCCCTTACCTTCTCTGTCGCACTGATTCCAGAAAGTGAAACTCAACTCACAGGCCTGTTCAATTTCTCATATTTAAACTCTACCATAAACAAGAACTTAATGTGAAACATTTTGGAACATAGGAAAAAAAAATAATAACACGCAATCTACTCACGTTTTCCGGAGACTCTCTGCCATCATTAACAGGTGTCTCTGCGATACTTCCTTCTTTACCTTTGCGTTTCTTTTTGGCTCCAGATGTTGACCCAGGACTATTCTTCTGCTGATACTCTTTCAGCTTAAAAAAAAAAGATGGAAAAACTTGAAGTCCAACTAATTAAAAGCTATCTGAAAATAGGAGCTCCTGTGTGAAAGTTCCTATGGGAAAATATTATCTTTTTTTTTTTAAATAAGCCTCTCCTGAACACAAAGTAAAGCATCTGAAGTCCTTCTGCCCTACAACCCTCTATGTGAGCAGAATAGCAGACCTGGACTAGCTGTTATCCAGATCATCAAGATGTCAATAAACCTGTATTTATTGTTGTCTGCCCTGGAATGCAGAAACTGGGATTGACTGTCAAAGACCTGACTGGGCACAGCATGTGGCCAGTGGTCCGCATACAACTTGGGGTGGTCAAAGGTTGTGCAGTCGTATCAAATGCCTCCCCCACAGAGCCCTCCAAAGGTAAAATTTGAGGTTTCTATGTTCTGTACAGATAAACAGCTGGCTAGACAGCTCAGTGATTTAGGTAACTGGCTGTGGAGTCAGAGGTTGGGAGTTTGATTCCCCCACTGGGCCTTCCTGGGAGTAGAGCCAGCCTGGGGGGCCTTGGGCAAGCTGCACACAGTCCCAGGACAATCCCAGAAGAAGGGAGTGGGAAACCACTTTTGAGCATTTTCTACTCAGAAAACCCTGGAAAGATTCGACTTAAGTCAAAAATGACTTGATGGCACATTATAATGCTGATAATTTTCTGTACACACTGGAATATCTCAGTTTGGATCTTTTAAGCAGGGAAAAATACATAAATCTGTGGAATCCTGATACAGCAAGATATACACACATAATGCATATTGCACCACACAGAATTTTCAACTTATTTTTAATTGTTAACAAATCTCACACAGAAGCATGTGAATTTCGTTGTATGGTATACTGTGTATATACTTACAATGACAATAAATTATATTATTATTATATTATTATTATTATTATTAAACTGAGACACAACTATAAATACTATTAAAATAGTATGTTTAATACAGTTAAAAATTTAAGAGTACACAATAACATGCCAATTGTCAATAGCACACTCTCATTAACAAAACTAGGCAGTTCTAGTTACATCTACCACTGCTTTATACTCTACAGCAGAAGAGGTGTGCAAATTAGATATGAGTTAACTACCCTGCTGGTTCAGACAGCAAGATTTGTAGGGGTGTGTGTGTGTGTGTGTGTGTGTGTGTGTGTGTGCGCGCGCGCACACACACACACACACACACACACACACACACACCCCTACAAATCTTGCTGTCTGAACCAGCAGGGTAGTTAACTCATATCTAATTTGCTAGGGTAGTCACATGCATAAAAGTACAGATTTGATGATATCTGTACCCAAGTTTTGCAACCAACTGCTTTTCTGTGCCATATTCTAAAAAAGCTTCCTTTTACAGCTGGATTACAGGGCATCCAAGACTGACACAGCCGGGTCACATGAGCGCCAGAGGAAGCGTCTGCACAACTGGCATCACTGCTGCCAAGCTCCTGCCAGAAAAGAGGGGCATATGCTGCACATGGGTCTCAATCCTGCCTCTTCCCTCCAGCCACAAGCACAAACCAGGTGCAAAGTGAGTGAGACCAATCATGTACACCTCTGGCTCTGTTATGTACATATGAGATTGTGGATGACATTTGTATCTTAGCTCCTGCATCCAGAATGGGAGACACGTGGCCTGCCATGATCCTAATTTAATTTAATTATCTGCCATCGAGTCAGTTCCAAATCATGGCAACCCTCCCAGGGTTTTGCAGGCATAAAGTACTGAGAAGCGGCTCCTCCTGGCAGCGCTCTTCACCCAAGTGGCAGGAGACTTCTGGTTAAAATTAAGAGAAATCTACTAAAATTGATGTTTTTCTGCCAATATCAGACATTCTGGCCACATAACACCTTTATAATACATTTTGCAATTCTGGCATGTCTAACGTTCTTAAGATTTTATGGGGGGGAAGAGATAACATTCTCACATTGCATGGGTGGGTAACAAGGTGACCGCTGATGCCCCTGTTAACCAGTTAAAAGGTACTTGCTCTCAGACATTCAAAATGATGTTTCCCAAGAAAGGAGTGTGTCTCCAAATTGCGTATGTGTGTGTGGGTGGCCCTTCCAGGAATGCAAGGGGAATGTCTGAAGTAGTTAATTAAAGAGAGGCCTGTCTCCCCGCATGCATATGAATACTCCAAAATATATAATAAGGGGGATGTCCTATCACATGCACAGCAAAACAATAGAGGGAAAGGTTTTTAAGGGACTTGGGGTGGGTCTCCTTGCATGCAATGGATCCAGATGCTGCGAGGAGGGACCATCCTGCAGCAATTCAAGAGGTATGTCTAAAACATGTAATAAGAAGGTGGAGGGGGGGGAGTTGTAGGTCCACCTGAACCTTTAGACTCCCAAGATATTTGCCAAAAGTGGATGTTTCCCAAATACAAGAGTAAAGCTGGAGGGGTGTGTGTGGCGGGCTCCTCTTCCAAGCATGCAAGCTGCACCTATTTCTAGAGTATTCGTTTGTTTGTTTAAAAACTGTCTCCCACATAATTGAACAAGGTGGGCGAGTGGGATGCCTTGCCACAGACCCACTACTACACCAACATGGGGGCGGGGGGAGAGCTTTTTCCAACTGACTTCTCTTAAGGGAAGGGTGGCCAAAGCAT